TCTTCACTTTCAGAAACTGAACCTGGCCCGTGCGAGCTCCTAGGATCCTCCAAAGCTCGGCCCAAAGCCTACGATTGGAACGTGCTCGCCTACGGGGGCCCCTGTGGTACCCACTGATGAGGTACGCCGAGTCGGTGACCAGTATAAGGTCCCCCTGGGTATGCTTGAGGAGCTCGGTGGCCCCTTTGAGCTCCGCCCTATTGATGGTCTGGAGCCCTATGACATTCCCTTGGAGAGTGCCAAGGAGGTTTAAATCTTCATCCCAGACCCCTGCACCCCATCCTACACGCCTCAGGCGGGGATCAGACGAGAAAGCACCCCCCGAACCGTCCACCGCACCGAGGCGCCAACCGCCCCTCGGCTCGGGAGGGTCCAGGAAAGCGCCAGTCCCTACTAGGACGGGGTGCTGAGGTGTGGTGTCCTCTACAGCCTTCAGAGCGAGACCTGCTGGAATGAGCCCTCGGAGCCACAGACATGCTGGCTGGTCGTCCCCTTGAGCGGTGTCCACTAGGTCCTCTGTTGCCTGAATGAGGGGGTGGTCGGCCTGGAACAGGAGCGGACACCCCCAGAACTTGTGATAGTCATCGCAGTGATGGTCTCCACACAACGGGCACACCGAGTCATCTGCTAGGCCTGCCTCGAAACGTCTCCTGGGGCTCCAGGCTGAACAGGCGCCGACTGCCTTGAGCGCCTTCGCGAGGTTCTTCTGCCCGTCGCGATACATCCGCTCGATCTGCCACCGTGAGCTCTTGATATCGACTCCATCCTGCACCCCTCCTGCTGCGTGTCCCCCTTGGGCCCCACTCCAGACTCGATGGTGGAGAAACTGCTGGAATCTGCACATGAAATAGTCTTGCTCCTGGAGATTCCCAGGTCGGACACGTAAAACCTGGCCGGATGGGCTTGTCCAAGCCCAAGCTGAGTTGGGCTGCCACCCCAGGTCGAGTAGGGTGGCCACCACCGCGCTGAGATGGCTGACAACATTGTTCCACCGCCTGGGCCGCTGGAGCTTGGTGACCACCTTGGGCCAGGCGAGCTCAATCCCATTCCTGAGGTGCGGCTGGCTCTCCACCAGCTCGAACCACATCTCGAGAAGATTGATGCGATGAAAGATGGCGGGGTCCAGGGCCTCTGGCGGTAACTTCGACTGGTGGAGCCCTGCGGTGAGACAGCTTCCTGGTTTGCTGGTCCCCAGGGCCGCCCCTGCTGCTCTCCTGTGCTGGCTGAGCTCTGTCGGGGAGACCCCGTGGCCCTCGAGTCCCCAATGGAGCTGTGGCTGAGCCCCTGCACGGTATAGACGATGAGCACTCTTGGTCACCCTCAGGAGCCTCTTAATGTTCTTGTGCCTCTTGAACCCAAGACGCTGCCGAGCCCTGCGAACCTTTAGGTACCTGCGCTTGCCTACCGTGGAGTCCAACCCAAGGTCCCTGGTGCCCAGCTTGGTCTGCAGGGGGATCCCGTGGAGCTTGCAGGAGTCCTGAACCTGGTTCCTGATGCCATTGTCATTCGACAGGAGCGCCGACTTCGGAGATAACCTGCACCCAAGATCTACGAGCCCTGCTTTGATAAACTTCATAGCCTCGGGGAAGGACTGGAGCAGGGATGTGGTCGAGCCGACCATGCGGGCCCGCAGGTCGTCCACCCAGGTCCTGAGGGTGAGACGGCTGAACCTGAGATGCGCCTGATGGAGGAGGTCGTGCAAAAGAACTCGCGTCCAAGCCACGCTTTGGCCGCATCCTGCTAGAATACTGCGCTGGGGAATGATCGGCTGGCTGACCCCCATCTCCGTGGTGAGATACCGAACGGCTAGGTGGGTCATGATCCCCAAACTTAGGCAGATACTTGGGTACCCCATTCCTTTGGCTTTCGCCGCTAGCACGTGGGTGAGGATGGTGTCATAGAATTTCTCTAAATCCAAGAGCCCTTCGACAAACCTTGATCTGAAGTTCTGTCCCCACCTCCGCAAAAAGTTCTGAAACGATGCCTGCGCGCAGACAGCTGGATCCTTTGATTGCTGCGTCCCAGTGTCCTGCCTTGGCCGCCTCCCACTTGCCGATCTCCCCCCTCCTCATCCTCATGAGCAGCCTGTAGAGCGAGGTAGTGAGCGTGATCGGCCTATCCGCCGTCACGGTCTTCGGCTTGAGTGCTACGAGGTTCCCTAAGCACTGGGCGGGCATCGACTGCTTCTCTTCGATGGTGTTTAGCATGCTCGTGAGCTCGACGTGCCCTGGGCCTGGGAGTCGAGCGAAGTCTCGTACACGCCACTGGTCCATGCCTGTGGCTGAGTGTCCTGGGAACGATCTGATGGCCTTCAGAACCTCCTCCTCCGTCCAGGGGGCCTCCAGAGCCTTGTCCTCCATCGCCTCCTCCCGTATCTCCTGGATCCACGGGGCCGAGATGGGGTTCTTGGTCTGGATCTTCTGTGGGTTCCAGTACTGCTGCCAGAAATTGCTTTTTGCCTCAAGGATGTCGCTGGGGTCCATGAGGACCTCTTCTTCCAGGACCAGGTTGTCTGCCTCTTCGGGGTTGACCTCTACTTTCATCTCTCTGGTGAAGGCGTGGGCGGCTCCACCCCCTCGCTTGATGCTGGTCTCCAACCAGTCCGCAAAACCGTCCTGGGCCTGCTTCAGCGCGCGGGTCTCGTAAAACTGCACTTGCTGCTCTAGCAGGTCGTGCAAAGGGAAAGGCTCGCTGGACCTCTCCTTCAGGCTGTGCCAGAGCGCCCACTGCTGGTCATCCGCGAGGTTAGAGTCCCAATTTAGGTTGACGACGGTAGCCTCGATAAGCCTCTGGAGCCTGCGATGGCTGGGGCCTGTGGGGTCACGCTTCCTGGCAAGATCCCTTTCCCGAACTCTCTGCTGGATGGTACTCCACCTTCTACTTTCTGGCCCCCCCCCTTGGTTCTGGAGGGTTGGGCTTGAAGGCCGCCCGCTTCTCCAGGCGAAAGGGCTGGGCCCGCGTTGGCCCTCCGAGTTCAGGAACTGAGCACCACCACTCCAGGGCCTGCGAGAGGACGGCAAACCTATGAGTGAGGGTCTCGTCGACATGCTCTGGTGCGACAGGATGAAGGACCTCTGGAGCCTTGGGGAACTTCTGGAGTGCCAAGACCTGGAGCTCGTCCCACGGCCGCGGGGCCGCACCTGGGACGTTGACATCTGGGGCCTCCTCGGGGTACGTGCTGTGCTTGCTGAGAACTTCTACTTGCAGTTCTCCTCGTAACCCAAGATGTGGCCTCCATGGACTTGTGCGATCTGGGGTGACCTGCAGGAGCCTACCTAGCTTCTCAGACACCACGTAAAAGTCAATCACCCGCCCGTTGCAGGTGGAGTCTACCTTCGGCTCGATGAGGACCCCACCTATGGTCTTCACCCAGAGGCCCCCCTCCATGAGCTCCTTCCCTGTCATGTTCCAGTCCCCTCCGATGATAAAGGGCAACTTGTGGGCTCTGAGGAAGGTGGCGATCTGGCTGGTCACTTGCGTATTGTACTCGTTATATCCTGCATCACTTTGAAGACCTCCTCTTCCTCCTCCTCCTCCTCCTCCTCCTCCTCCTCCTCCTTCTCCTCCTTGGCCATGGCACCTCGGCCCCACCAGGCCGCCCTCCTGCCTGGGGAGAGGTGGAGGAGCGGCCGCGCGAAGTCCGGAGAAGCAGGCACACGCCCGCACCTGCCCTGGACGGGGCAGTTATCAGAGGGGGAGGGGATTGATCTTCCAACGGAGCCTGCCCATCCCGTCCCGCCCTCCCTCCTCTTCCTCCTCCTCCTCCTCCTCCTCCTCCTCCTACTTCTCCTCCTTTCACCTCCTTTCACCTCCTCCTCCTCCTCCTCCTCTTCCTCCTCCTCCTCCTTCCTCCTCTTTCCTCCTCCTCCTTCTCCTCCAGTGTTTGCTGTTCGTTGTTGGCTTCGGGCTCGACTTCGACGCAGCCCCCCATCCCACCCCCGTTGCCCCCGATGGGGGGGTTGAACACCAGTAGGGCCTGTAGGACAAGTAGAAGCGCGATTGGCATGACAGGGGGGGGTGGAGGGAAGAAGGGAATGACGGAACTGCGATGACCGACGGTTGCGACCGAGTCGAAAACGCAGGCGGGAAAGCGGGGGAGGGTACGGCGTTGCGCTGGCGGCGAGTGCGGCAGGCGGGTGACAGGCAGCGTGGCCACGGCCACACTCGCCCAACAGGGTCGGGAGGCGCCAGGGCCTTTCCCCGTGCCCACAGGGCCCCCACGGACGGCCCTCCTCCTCCTCCTCCTCCTGATCCTCCTCCTCCTCCTCCCTCCTCCCTCCTCCTCCTCCTCCTCCTCCTCTCCTCCTCCCTCTCCCCCTCCTCCTCCTGATCCTCCTCCTCCTCCTCTCCCTCTCTCTCCTTCCTCCTCCTCCTCCTCCTCCTCCTCCTCTCTCCTCCTCCTCCTCCTCCTCCCCCTCCTCCTCCTACGCCTTCCCTCCTCCTCCCTCCTCCTCCTCCTCCTCCTCACAACGAGGTCCCCCATCTGCCGAGAGGCAGGCGTAGGGTTCCCGAGAGTGGGACGGGTGGCTGCCTGGGGATTGCCACAGGGCGCAGGGGAGGCTTGCGCCTGCCGTGGCGGCGACCATGCGGAGTTCTTTTCGTTCAGCCCTCCCGCCTATGTGAACCTTCACTACGCTACCATGCCCAGGCTCTTCTTCTTCTTCTTCTTCTCTCTTCTTCTTTCTTCTTTTTCTTCTTCTTCTTCTTCTTCTTCTTCTCTTTTTCCTTCTCCTTCTTCTTATTCTTCCTCCTTCTCCTTCTCCTCCTCCTCCTCCTCCTCCTCCTCCTCCTTCACCTCCTCCTCCTCCTCCTCCTCCTCCTCCTCCTCCTCCTCGAAGCCCCCTCTTCATCGAACCCCCTTCTGCCCGTTTCGACAGCACGTGCCTGGCCACCCCTGCGGATCCAGGGGGGGGAGGGCGACTGCTGCCCCGCCCGGAGCAGGTGGACAAGGCGGCCTGTGGGGCCAGGGCCAGGGCCACGCCAGTGGGGGCGGGCATCGGCCCAGCGGTGCTCGCAGGTGGAGCGTGCTGGCCTGCTGAAGCTCCTGGGCTCCGCCCTGGACGGGCTGACCGCGGAGCGCCAAGAGGCCGGCAGGGGCGAGATGGCGCGCTTGTGCGGGCAGCTGGCCGCGCAGCTGGAGGGGGCGAAGGCCGGCTGCCAGCAGGAGTTCGGCCCAGACCTCCTCGGGCCAGACGGGGGGTTTTGGCAGTTTTCGGCCTCGATCTGGGGGCCCTTGCCGGGCCAGGGGACCGTCAGAAATCGGCCCAGGATGAAGCCGGCCCCGGGTCAGGAGTCGGGACTTCCGGGGACCGCGAATCGATCAAGTCAGGACGGCGCGTGTCTGGGGAACGCTCCGAGTGCGTTCTGGAGCGCTCTGCAATGGCGACGGCGCCCGCTGCATCCTGCAGAGCCTCTGGGTCTCAGAGATCCCCGCTCTGTCCCCCAGACATGCGACGTCCTGATTTTTTCAGGACGGCGTCCGTGGAAGTCCCGACCGTTTCCCTGGGACCGGTTTTTCGTCCTGAGCTGTTTTTTGACGGTCCCGAGGCCCGGCGAGGGCCCCCCCCTGGGGCCGAGAATGGCCAGTCGACTCCCGTCCTGATTTTTTTTTACGACGCGATCATGTCTGGGCCCGGGTCCGATGTCGTTCTGGCCCTGGCCTCGTCGCAGGAGCTGGCGCGGGCGCTGCAGGGCCTGCAGGCGGAGAGGGCCTCGGAGCCGCAGGGGGTGCGCCAGGAGCTCGAGCTCGAGGCGGAGCGCCTCCGCGCCGAGCTGGCCAGCGCGGAGCAGCGGGTCAAGGACTCGACGAAGATGCTGGGTCGTCGTCCAGAGCGTGTTGTTTTGTTCTTGTTTCTTCTTCTTCTTTTTTTTTTTTTTTGCTCCAGGCTGAACCCAGACATGATCGCGTCGAAAGAAAATAAGGACGGGAGGTTTTCGGCCATTTTCAGCGCCGGGGGGCCCTCGCGGGGCCTCGGGACCGTCAAACAACGACTCAGGACGAGAAGCCGGTGCCGGGGAAAGGGTCGGGACTTCAGGGGCGCCGTCCTGAAAAAATCAGGACGTCGCCTTTCTGGGGCTGGGTCGTCGTGCCGAGCGTTTTTTTTTTTTTTTTTTTTTTTTTTTTTTTTTTGTTTTTTTTTTTTCTTCCTGCTAAGGACTCAATTGCACTCCCAGGGCCCGGTCGGCCCTTAGCGCCCGCCTGGAGAAAAGCAGCCGGCGGCCTCCAGTTACCGCACCTGGCGGCGCGGTGCGAGACCTCCCCATGCGCGCGCCGTCCCCCTGGCGGGCCTCGAGGAGCTGCGCTCCCGCTTCGAGCGAAGGGCGCTCTGGGCCCACCCGGGCAAGGGCGGGAGAGCAGGGAGGCCTCCCGGGCGGTGCTGGACCCCCCCCCGAGGCGCTGGCCAGCGGGCCCCGAGCGCCGCCGGGCGCTGCGACGGGCCGCCGGCAGGCCGCCGCGAGGCGTGCCGCGGCGAGGGCGCCCGCGGCGGCGCGGCACTCGAGGAAGGCGGCGCGCGCCGCGGCCTGGCTGGGCGCCCACGGCCAGCGAGGGCACCGCCGCGGGTGCGCGTGCGCCGCCCCGGCTGGCTGCTCCAGCGCCAGGCGCCGGCCGAGGCAGCGCGCGGGGCAGGGGCGGGGAAGCGGCAGCGCAGGGGGGCGCCGGACGCCCTGCCCTGGGCGGGCGGCTGCGGCGCCCGTGCCGGACATGCTGGGCGCGCTGCCGCCCCGAGTAGGCTCGGGCGTCGCGAGGAGTGCCCCGCGGCCCACGTGCGCCCCCCGGGACTCCAGGGCCACGGCCCGGCCTCCAGAGCGCGCTTCGCGAGGCCAGGAGGGCCCCATGGGGTTCCCAAACGGAGCCGCACGCCGAAGAGCGGAGGCCCGCCTTCGTCGCGCTGTTCTCCCCCGCGCAGCGCTTGGAGTTCGAGAGCGGGGCGAGGGCGCAGGCGGCTCTCGGCGGCGTCGCCGCGCAGGCGCGGGCGCGGCGCCCGCCGAGTTGGCCGCCCGCGGCCGCGCGGGTTGCGGCCCGGAGGGCGAGCGCACACTACAGCAGCGCCTGGGGGCACTCTGCGACGGCGCACGCGACGACTCTGCGAGGGCGCGGCGCTCTGCGACGGGGCACTCTGCGACGGCGCATGACCGAGGGGCCTCCGCGGCCTGGGCGGGGGTCCAGGAACTGCCAGGGGCATCCTGACCCACCAGCGGTGCCACGGGTGCCTGTGCAACGCGGTCGGGGGCTACAGCTTCGCCATCCTGCTGGTGCGGAGTACGCTCGACCTAGCGACCGCGCTGGAGTACCTGATGTCTCACACCAAAGTCGTGCAGTACATGGGGTCCAGCGGTGAACCGAGGGTCGATGTCCACTTTAGCGACGCCAGGGTCTTTTGCGAGCCGAGGGCCGAGGCCCGCTTCAGCGACGCGATCACCAAGGTCTTAGGTGACGCGGAGGCAGCCCCGAGCCGCCTCGGGCTCGCGATCGAATTCGCGTTTACGCGCAAGTTCTTGCTCGAGTGCCAAGTGCTGTCCCTGCCCGCGGTGCATTTCGTGTCCGCTGCGGCCAGCATCATTGCGCAGACCAGGCATTCGGTGTGGCCAGGCTGGGCGCAGGGCCCCGCTTGGTAGCCTCAGGGTCACGAAGGAGGGGGAACTTCAAGGCCCGCCGCGTGAGCATCTGCGGCAGTCTGGGCCTCTGCGGCGAGGAGGTCGCGCCGCACGCCTGGGCGAGCTGGAGGCGGCCAATGCCGGCGGCAGGGAGCCGAAGCTAAAGCGGTGGAATCGCTTGGCCATGCCGCGCGAGGGCACCGCCGACGTCGTCGTCATCGTCGCCGTAGTCGCCGCCGTCGTCGTCGCCGTCGTCGTCTTCGTCGTCGTCGTCGTCGTCGTCGTCGTCGTCGTCGTCGTCGTCGTCGTCGTCGCCGCCGCCGCCGTCGCCGTCGCCGTCGCCGTCGCCGTCGCCGTCGCCGTCGCCGTCGCCACCGGGGCACGGCGGGAGCCCAGCAGCCTGCGCTGCAGCCGAAAACGCGCGGCAGGGCGGCGAGGCGCCGGCAGGGCCGCCCGCCTCCGCAGCACGGCCGCGGCGCAGGCGGCCGCCGCCCGCGCGCGTGCGCGTGCGCGCGCTCGCTCGCGCGCTTGCGCGCTCGCTCTCTGGCGCGCTTGGCGCGCTCGCTCGCTCGGCCAGGCGCCGCGCATGCGCGCTCGCTCGCTCGCTCTCCGCGGTCGGAGGCGGGCTTGGCGTCGCCCGCGCGCGTGCACGGTCTGCCCGGGGCGGCCGGCGGCGGGGGCGGAGCGGCGCCGGCGGGCCGCGCGGTGGAGGGAGGTGCACCGCAGGGGGTGTCGAGCTCCGCGGCCGAAAACTGCCAGCCACGGCGGCGACGAGCAGCGATCGGGGCTGCGAGGGACGGCCGCCGCCGCGGCCTTCGCGAGGCGCTCGGCCCCGACAGCGCGGCGCCAGCAGGCGAAGTCCTGCTGCCAAAGGGCCAGCCGTGGCGGCGCGGGCGGGTTGAACAGAAAATGTCAGGGTCACCGCAATCGCCGCCATCGTCGTCGTCGTCGTCGTCGCCGCCGTCGTCGCCGTCGCTGTGGCCGCCGCCGCGCGTTGATGTAGTTTGTTGTCCGTGCCGGGCTAACGTCTCGTCCCTTGCGGGGGACTTTTTTGAGCCAGGCTGACTATGGGACGATGTGCATGCAAAGTTGCCCCTAGCACATGTGCGCACCACGTCCGCCGCCGTCGTCGTCGTCGTCGTCGCCGCCGTCGTCACCACCGCCGCCGCCGTCGTCGTCGCCGCCGCCGCCGCCGTCGTCGTCGTCGTCGTCGTCGTCGTCGTCGTCGGCGTCGTCGTCGTCGTCGTCGTCGGCGTCGTCGTCGTCGTCGTCGTCGTCGTCGTCGTCGTCGGCGTCGTCGTCGTCGTCGACGCCGAGAGGACGGGCTGCAGGACCGCCAGAGGCTGTCGCGCGCCGTGGAGGGCGCGCGGCGGGACATGGCGGGCCTGCAGGCCGAGCTCGAGCGCCTCCGCGCCGCGCCGGAGCCCTCCGCGCGGGAGCTGCGGGAGGACCGAGGCCGGCGGCGCAAACCAAGAGGCGCAACAAACACAGGAGGAGGAGGAGGAGGAGGAGGAGGAGGAGGAGGAGGAGGAGGAGGAGGAGGAGGAGGAGGAGGAGGAGGAGGAGGAGGAGGAGGAGGAAAATGAGGAGGAGGAGGGTGGCGAGCATGTGGAGGAGCACGGGGAGGTGGAGGCAGAGGTTGGGGGAGGGGGGGGGGGCTGACCACCGGGGGCCCTGGGACATCGGGAGGCTCGGGGAGCATCGGCATCGAGGTGGGCTTCCCCGGAGAGTCTTCCCTCCTCCTCGGTCATCCTCCCGCCTCGCTCTCCGATCGGTCTCCTCCCCGCCGCCCTCACGTCGCCCTCCTCCCTCGCCCTCCTCCCACGCCCTCCTCTCTGCCGCGGGATAGGAGGATCGATGGCCAGGGCCAGTCGCGGAAGCGCAGACCCAGACCGCTTCGGGTGGGGAGCAAATCACGCCGGGAGGTCTTCGGCAATTTTCGGCCTCTGGGGGCCTTCGCCGGTCCCTGGGACCGTCCAAAAACGTCTCATGATGATAAACCGGTCGCGGGGAATGGGTCGAGACCTCCAGGGTCCGCGTCACGAAACAGATCATGATGTCAGGGGTTTGGATGGCATTTTCGGCTTTCCGACGGCCCCAGACTACCCCAGATGCCACCAAGACGGCCACAAGACCGCCCAAGAGGCCTCGGACATGGTCCCCTGACGGCCCAAGGGGCACCGAAGAAGGTCCGAAGACGACCCCAAGACGAGTCAGGATACCTCCAAGACGCCCAAGATGTCCTCTCAGACGGCCCTGAAACGCCCCGAGAGGACCCCAAGTCGGTCCAGAGAGACCCCCAAGACGGCTTCCGACGGCGTCAGGCGGACCATGAACGCAGGACCAATCAAGGAAGCGCCAACACGGCTTCGGGTGCATGGATTCGCGACCAGCCCCGTTTCCGTCCTGAATCGACGCGCTCCGTCGAAGGATGAGGCGGCACGTGTTTCATCCTGGGGGGGTACTTCCTCCGATCCGTGGATCTGACGCGTCAGATCCATGGATCCCTAATCCATCTAAGCGTGTAACTACCCGAACCGAGATGTCGCGGGAGCCTGTTGATGCAGGTCTTGGTCATGGTCCATGCCAGCCGTCGCCGATTCGCGAGGATGATCCGCGAGTTGATGATGACCAGGATGGAGGGTGACCAAGATCGGCACCGAGGTTTTCGCGTTCAGGGAGGGGGAGGAGGAGGAGGGGGAGGAGGAGGAGGAGGAGGAGGAGGAGGAGGAGGAGGAGGAGGAGGAGTCATGGTCACCGTTCTCTTTTCCTTCGCAGGAGGTGGCCCAGCTGCGCCGGCAGCTGGCCGCGGAGAAGGAGGCCCAGAAGAGGACCGATCCGTCGAGTCATTTCGATGTTTTCGGACGCTCGAGGCTCGATGCCTTCGGACATTTTCGTCGGTTCTCGGCGGCTTTCCAGCCGCTCATATATTCATTCTATCCATGTCTACTGCTGCCGTCTCGGCTCAGGTATTGGAAACAGGTACAGCGCCGCCTGCCCGCGGCGCATGGGAAAAAGGGATCGCTACGTACCCTCTCCCTTACCTTCCTCTACCTGCGGCAATCCTTGTAGGTTCGACTCTTCGGTCGTCAACCTACATACACAGCCTCGGGGTGCCTTCCAGCGGCTGCGCCTCGCCGAGGGCGCCCCGGGGCTGCCTGGATCGCCCGGACGGCCGCTAGAGGCGGCCCGAGCCATGGCCCGAAGGCCACTGGGGACGGGGCTGGGCTCCTTCTCCTCCTCCTCCTCCTCCTCCTCCTCCTCCTCGTCCTCCTCCTCCGCCCTCCTCCGCCTCCTCCTCCTCCTCCTCCTTCTCCTCCTCCTCCTCCTCCTCCTCCTCCATAATTGCACACTATGAATACTGCTCTCCTCCATCCCCTGATGGCGTGCAGAAGATAGCGGGCACCCCTCCGCGTATTGTTTTTTAGTCACAGGATTACCCGGAGTGAGGCGCGGGCTTCATTTTCGGCCTTCCGCTCGTTCCGAATCGTGCTCCCGCTGCAGCGCCGGCCTCATTTTCGTGCTTCCGCTCGTTCCGAATCGTGCTCCCGCTGCAGCGCTGGCCTCATTTCCGCGCTACCGCTCGTTCCGAATCGTGCTCCCGCTGCAGCGCTGGCGTCATTTCCCGTGACATGCCACGGCATGCAGTGCAATGCTAGGTTGCGTTCCGCTGCGCGATGCCATGCCTCCAGCTGCAGCTGTCATGTCCAGTGCGTACGTGCCACGTCATGCTATGCCATGCTACGTTTTGATCTTCAACGCCATGCTATGCAATGTGATGTTCGGGGCCGCTGTGCGATGCCATGCTTTGCGTTGCAAAGCTTTGTGATGCAATTCTTCACTACGCCACGCCACGCCATGCTGTGACATACTACGTTTTGCGGTGCCCTTCTGCGCCATGCCATGCCGTGCTCTACAATGCATCGCGTACCCTTTCGGGATCACTGCCCTGCTCGACATCCGACTGTGCGACTAGAGAGGGGATCTACGCCATGGTAATGGATGGGAGGGAGGGGCAGGATGTCAGATATGACGCGAGCGCACCTAGCTTGTCCCTCCACCCCTTCCCCCTCCCCTTCCTCCTCCTCCTCCGAGCCATGGCCCCAAGACCATGGGGGACGGGGATGGACTCTGGGGGGGAAGCATCGGCCTTCAATCGCCCATTCGTCGCCGAGAGGTCTGGGGACGGGGCTGGGCTCGGGGGTGGGGGGAAGCACCGGTCGGCCCTAAATCGCCCATTCCTTCTCGCCGAGAGGACCGCGGACGGGGCTGGGCTCGGGGGTGGGGGGAAACATCGGCCCTGAATCGCCCATTCCTTCTCGCCGAGAGGACCGCGGACGGGGCTGGGTTCGGGGGGGAGGGAAGCATCGACCCTCAATCGCCCATTCGTCGCCGAGGGGGCCGGGGACGGGGCTGGGCTCGGGGGGTGGGAAAGCATCGGCCGTCAATCGCCCCTTCGTCGCCGAGAGGCGGCCGCCGTGGCCCGCCCCGCCGCGGGACCTGCGGTTCCTTCGGATCCGGGCCCCGTCGCCCGCCGGTCCGTCGGCCATGCGGCGCCGGCAGCAGGTCGGCGCTCCTGCCCCCCCGAGCTGGTGGCCCCCCAGCAGGAGGGCTGCTGAAGTCAGGAGCGCTACGGTCGAGCATTAAGAAGCATCGGGGAGGGGGCCTCCTCCTCCTCCTCCTCCTCCTCCTCCTCCTCCTCCTCCTCGTTCTCCTCCTCCTCCTCCTCCTCTTCCTCCTCCTCCTCCTCCTCCTCCTCCTCCTCCTCCTCCGGCATCTCCTCCCGAAAAGCTGGGCCAGCGTTTCTCAACCAGCTTGCCGGGAATCTGGCCCAGCTTCCCGAGCACAGCCGCCTCTCCAGCGCTGGCACCAGAAGGTGGCCCAGGCTTGTGTGAAGAAACTCTCAGGAGGCTTGCCCAGTTTTCTTAAAGGATGGCTTCTTGATCGCAGTGTCGGCTGTAGCACAAGAGTGGTGCCCCGTTTTGCCGCCAGCGGCGCCAGGGCATACGAGAGGACTGCCAGAGGAACCATCGCGGAGTGACCCAAGGAACCGCTGGCCCCAGCCGAACTCGAAGCGGTCTCAGTTCAGCGCCTTGGCTCTATCGTTCCCCCTCGGCCCTTCCTCGTCCTCCTCCTCCTCCTTCTCCTCCTCCTCCTCCTCCTCCTCCTCCTTCAGGGCGCACCTCGGCCTCGGTTGGGAGCTGGGCGGGAGACTGGCGGAAGCTGGCGGGCGCAGCGCGGCCTCGGGCCCGCGGGCGAGAGAGGGGGGCGGGAGGCTGGCGGACGCAAGCGTTCGGGTGTTGCCAGAAGTTATCAGTATCGCTTAACCGACCCTCATCCCCATCCCCATCCCTTTCGAGACCCCCACCAAATTACCCCCTTAGTTGGGGATTCACCTCTTGAAATCCGAAGGGAACGACCGATATCCCCATCTAGGGGGGTAAATCGGCCAGTGGGGCCCAGGCCACGCCGCCGGGGACGGGGAGCGGTGAAACGATACTCAAGTGCCCCTGGCCCGAGGTGTCCCCATAATTTCCATGGGGTTCCCTTTCTGGGGCCTGCAGGGCACTCCTTGCGGGGCCCAGGCGGACCCTGGGGATTCCACGCGGAGCGCGAGGCTGAACGGCGGGAGGAAGACGGATTCGGCTGCGCGGACACTCGCGCGCAAGCTGGCCGCGTAAGGTCGCGCGCAAGCGCCCTCTTTTCCGACGCAGCGTGCCGCGCCGGCGGCCCGCGTAAGCCGCGGAGTAAGGACTTTCTGTCGTCGTGCTCAAGACCCGCTTCGTTTCGCCGATCCACTGGGGGCACCTCGGGTCGGGGACACCGCCCGAAGCGTGAGGCCCAATGCGTCGGGTCGTGGGGGCCGAGGCTCGGCTGGGTCGCCCGCGGGGGCGAGCGGGCGGAGCGTCCCCCGCAGGCGGCGCGCCGCCGCGCGTCGCGCGTCGCGCGGAGCGCGAAGTCTGGCGGCGTGGGGCCTCGCTGCTGCTCCCTCCCCTCGGTCGGGCGCCACGTGTGTGCCTCTGTGCTTGTCCTGTGCGAGAGGGCCGCTTCCACACGGGCGACGGGCACGCGTAAACATCCTGCGGTGTATAGGAGCACCAGGGCGGGCGTGGTCTGGCCGTGCCGCTCGGGTTAACAGCACGCCACAACGTGCTTGTGCTGCCCGCTTCGATCGGACGTGCTCGTGCTGGTCGCTCCGCCCGGACGAGGAGCACGGCTCGGTCTGATCAGCAAGTCGCCCCTGCAGAGTCACAGGGTGACAGGGTGCCCTTGGTGCCCTGTCTGTCGCGCTTCGTGTCCCCCTCACGCCTGGAGCACTGCAATCAGTCCCGACTGGGTGGGAGCTTATGGAGGAGGAGGAGGTGGAGGAGGAGGAGGAGGAGGAGGAGGAGGAGGAGGAGGTAGGAGGAGGAGGGAGGAGGAGGAGGAGGAGGAGGAGGAGGAGGAGGAGGAAGAGGAGGAGGAGGAGGAGGAAGAGGAGGAGGAGGAGGAGGAAGAAGAGGATGAGGAGGAGGGAGGAGGAGGAGGAGGGAGGAGGAGGAGGGCAAACGCGGCGAACGGACGCGGGAGCCGGTGGGGCGTGGCCCCTGTCCCGCGATCCTCTCCCCTGGGGACCCTCTCCTCATCCCACGATGTCGCCAGACGGCCGTGTGGTCCAGAGACTTACGTGGTGGTGGTCGTCGTCGTCGGATAGCCACGGCTGGGAGGCGACAAAGCAGCGGCCCCAACCCCCTCGGAGGCCGGGACACGGCGCGGCAGACATCCGGCGCGATCTCGTCCCGACGCGTGGCAGAGGCCCTGCCTCCGCCGGTGCAAATTCCCCGTTGGGAGGGAGGTCCCAGAGGCTCCTCCTCCTCCTCCTCCTCCACCTCCTCCTCCTCCTCCTTCTCCTCCTCCTCCTCCTCCTCCAGAATTACTCAATATGAATACACTCTCCCTCTTCCCCTGATGACGTGCTGGGAGTGTTCGCCCCCCCCCCCGCGTCCTGCTTTTTTACGCACAGGTTTCCTGGGAGTTGGGTTTTCGATTGCATTTTTTTTCAAAATGCTGCTCTCGCTGAGGCGCCGGCCTCATTTTCGGGCCCCGCTCGTTCCGAATCGTGTTCCCGCTGCAGCGCTGGCCTCATTTCCGCGCTTCCGCTCGTTCCGAAATCGTGCTCCCGCTGCAGCGCTGGCCTCATTTCCGCGCTTCCGCTTGTTTCGACTCGTGCTCCCGCTGCAGCGCTGGCGTCATTTCCCGTGCCATGCCACGGCGTGCAATGCAATGCTAGGTTGATACTACGCTTTGCGGTGCTCGTCTACGCCATGCCATACCGTGCTCTACAATGCATCGCGTACCCTTTCGGGATCATTGCCCTGCTCGACATCCGACTGTGCGAGTAGAGAGGGGATCTGCGCCATGGTAAGGGATGGGAGGGAGGGGTAGGATGTCAGATATGACGCGAGCGCACCTAGCTTGTCCTCCTCCCTCCTCCTCCCCCCTCCTCCTCCCCCTCCTCCTCCTCCCTCCTCCTCTCCCCCTCCTCTCCTCCTCCTCCTCCTCCTCCTCCTCCTCCTCCTCCTCCTCCTCCGTCGCCTTCTTCTCCTTCTCCTCCTCCTCCTCCTCCTCCTCCTCCTCCTCCTCCTCCTCCTTCCCCTCCTCCTCCTCGAGGTTCCTGGAGGTCCCCGAGGTCCCGGAGGTCCCAGGCGGGCTTCCGGGGCCCAGCTCCCTCCGCCCGGAGGCCCGGCACGGGGGCCAGCACCCCCCCCCCTCTCCGAGGCTCTGCCGTCGGAGCGTTTTTGGAGACTCCGCCAACCTTACTGTGCAGGTTGCGCGGCAGGCGCAGGGGAGGATTTGCCCTCCCCGACCGTATGCCCTACAGCGGCTCTGGAAGGTTTTTCTCTTGCTCCGGCCACGGGGCGGTCGCCCATCGTGTGGCCGGTGCCTCCTAGCCCATGGGGCTGCTGGAGGTACTCTTTCGGTCAGTGAGGTCTCCCTCACTGCCAGCAGCGGTTTCCCAGCCGCCGCTGCTGTGTTCACCAAGGCTGTGCGTGCGTTGAGCTAAAACAGAAAAAATCTCAAGGGATCGCGTCCTCCAGGTTTTTTTGCAGCAGGTGCAGAGCACGGCATCCGGCAGATGCAGGAGCAGAGTCTGCAGGCACAGCGCAGTCTCTCGGGGGCAGGCGCCGGCACGCTGAGGTGGAAACGCTCCAATCATCGAAGAAGAACACAATTATTGCATAAACGTGAACTTGTGGCGCTCCGCGTGGATTTCTTGGATCCGCGCTGGCCCCCCCGGCGGCGCCTCCGCCGCCGCCCCTGGCGCGCTCCGCGCGCCAGGAAGGGGGTCCAGCGCAGATCCAAGAAATCCGCGCGGAGCGCCAAAAGTTAATGCTTATGCCGTTTCTTCTTCTTCTTCTTCTTCTTCTTCTTCTTCTTCTTCTTCTTCTTCTTCTTTTTCTTCTTCTGAATCAGGGCTCCCTCTCCTCGATGCTCGATGTCTGAAGGCAAGACCGAGCAGTCTGGGGCGGCAGTAGGTCCTCGGCCCTCGGCCCACCCGCGGAGGATCCAGCGGCAGGCGGACACCGACGTCGTGCGCTCGCTCGTCGCCCTCCGCGACCTCGACGCCAATTTCTTTTCGCCCGCGCGCTGACGCGGGCGAGGTGTCTGCTTCGCCGCGCCTGGAAGTCTGGGCAGTCCCGGCCTGACCTGCGAGATCGGCCAGTTGAGGGCCCCATGTCCTTGATGGGCCAGTTTTTCACCGCCGCTATCAGAGGTAGCACGGGGGAGAAGGGAGGACGGGGAGGTCCTTCTACTCCCCCTCCTCCTCCTCCTCCTCCTCCTCCTCCTCCTCCTCGCTCTGCTACCCATGGTAGCGGTTGTGGATCTTCGGCCCATCACTCCTACTTCTTTGTGCCCTGTTTTGTGTTCGCCCCCCCCCCCCCCCTGCGCCCCGACTGGCCGCCGCCGGGGCCCTTCTGCGCCCGCTCGCCCGCGCAAGGGCCGGCGGGCGCGTCGGCACTTCGGAGGCACGAGGGAGGGAGGGACGCAGGGAAATGGAAGCAGCGATGGGGGAGGGAGGGAGGAGAGGGACGAGGGTAGGGGGAGGGAGGGACGAGGGCGAGGGAGGGAGGGAAGAGAGCGACGAGGAGGGGGGAGAGGGCGAGGGAGGGAGGGAGGAGAGGGACGAGGCGGGAGCGAGGGAAGAGAGCAGCGGAGCGCGGGGGGGCCGAGAGAGAGAGAGCGGGGAGGGAAGGATGGAGGGGGGAGGCGTGCAGGGCGGGGGGAGGAGCCAGAGGCGCACGCAGGGCGCCTGCGTCGTGAGCGTGTCCTCCTGGCCTCCCGCCCCCGCGAGAGCCAGAGCCTGGCGCCTGCCCGTGGCCGCCCCGTGCGCGCCCCGTGCGCCCGTGGGGGGTCCGCCGAGGTCCGGCCCGGTGCGCGCCCGCGGACGCCTCGTCGGGCGCCTCGTGCGCGGGGTGGGTCGGCCGAGGTTGCGCCCGGCGGCCGGCCGTGGGCGCCTCGTGGGCGCCCCGTGCGCCGGGCGGGGCACGCCCTGGGGCCGCCCGTGGCCATGAAGGTGATGAGGATGACGATGAGGATGGTGATGATGATGACGATGATGATGATGATGAGGATGATGATGATGATGATGATGATGACGATGACGATGATGACGATGAGGATGATGATGGTGATGATGGTGATGACGATGATGAGGATGATGACGGTGACGATGATGATGATGCTGTTTGTGTTGCTGCTGTTGATAGTGGTGCGGCTGATGATGATGATGCTGCTGCTGCTGATGATGATGATGACGATGAGAATGGTGATGTTTCAGATCTCGATCATGTTTATGACGCTGGTGTTGGTGAGGACGCTGCTGCTGATGATGAGGACGGGGCTGATGATACCGATGATGGTAGTGATGATGACGATGATGATGATGACGTTAATTATTCTGATGTTGCTTATTGGTTGTTCTGATTTTGCTGATGATGAGGCCGTTGGTGGTGTTTGTGGTTGTTTTGATGACGACTACGATGGCGACGACGATGATGATGATGCTGCTGATGATCATTACGTTGCTGATGATGCTGACGATCTTGACACGGGTAATAATTATACCCATGATGTTGGCCAGGCTCATGATTACCATGGTCATGACCATGCTCATGATGCTGCTGTTGATGATGATAATGATGATGATGATGATGATGATGATGATGATGATGATGTTAATGCAGATTACGGTGATTACGATGACGACGAGGATGGTCGTTGTGATGATGATGCTGTTGCTGATGACGATGATGATGACGATGACGATGGCGAGGATGATGATGACGATGAGTATTTGGATGATCATGACGACAATGACGATGATACTGAGGTAGTTGCCGATGTTGCTGATCACTAGTACTAACATTACCTTCCTGCTGGTGATTATGATCCTCAGATGATCATGACGATGATCACGACTATGATTATGATGATGCTGCTGATTACGATGCTCCTGCTGGTGATGATGGTGACAATGATGATGTTGATGCTGATGACGATGCTAATTATGACGATGATGATGATCATGGTAATTATGGTGTCAGGACAGTAATGATGCTAGTGAAGAAGAATACCATGCCTTTGACGAAGATGGCGACTAGGCTGATGATGCTGGTGCATATTCTGATGGTGTTGGTGATGATGAAGACGACTAGGCTGATGATGGTGACGACGATGAAGATGATTACGCTCTCGATGCTGATGATGATGATGGTGATGATGATGTTGCTGATGATGGTGCTGATGATGATATTGATAATAATACTGACGATGATGTTGATGATTCTGATGATGAATCTGATGATGATGCTAGTGATGATGATGGTGATGATGATGATTGTGGTGGCGGTGGTGGTGATCGTGGTGTTGGAGATTAATCTGATGCATATGCTGATGATGATGATGCTGTCGATGATGATGATTATGATGATGACGATGATGCGGATGCTGATGCTGATGCTGATGTTGTCGATGATTATGATGATGTTGATGCTGATGATGCTGATGCTGATGCTGCTGGTGATGCTGATGATGATGATGATGATGATGATGTGGATGCTGACGCTGATGCTGATGCTGTCGATTATGATGATGCTGCTGCTGATGATGAGTGTGATGACGATGATGACGATGATGACGATGATGATGCTGATGATGAGGAGGATGATGATGATGCTGGTGATGATGATGACTATGATGATGCTGCTTATCATGATGACGATGATGATGATGATGATTATGATGATGGTGATGATGATGGTGGTGGTGATGCTGATGATGCGGCTTCTGTTGATGATGATTCCGGTAGTGGTAAGGATGATGAATATGATGATGAGTTTGATGATGATGATGATCATGATGATGATGATGATGATGATGATGATGATGATGATGACGATGATGATGATGATGATGATGATGATGGTGATGATGATGATGATGATGGTGATGATGATTGTGATGATGATGATGCTGATGCTGATGATGATGCTGATGATGATGTGCTGCTGATGATGATGATGATGTGCTGCTGATGATGATGCTGATGATGATGATGATGCTGATGATGGTGGTGATGGTGTGGGTGGTGATGATGATGATGATGATGATGCTGATGCTGATGCTGATGCTGATGCTGATGCTGATGCTGATGCTGCTGCTGTGATGATGATGATGATGATGATGCTGATGATGATGATGATGCTGATGATGATGATGATGATGATGATGATGATGATGATGATGATGATGATGATGATGATTGATGATGATGATGATGATGATGATGATTGATGATGATGATGTGATGATGATGAGGATGATGAGGATGATGATGATGATGATGATGATGATGATATGATGATGATGATGATGATGATGATGATGATGATGATGATGATGATGCATGATGATGATGAAGGAGGAGGAGAAGGCGGAGGACCAGTAGGAGGAGGAGGAGGAGGAGGAGGGAGGAGGAGGAGGAGGAGGAGGAGGAGGGGAGGAGGGGAGGAGGAGGAGGAGGAGGGGAGGGGAGGAGGAGGAGGAGGAGGAGGAGGAGGAGGAGGAGGAGGAGGAGGAGGAGGAGGAGGAGGAGGAGGAGGAGGAGGAGGAGGAGGAGGAGGAGGAGGAGGAGGAGGAGAGAGGGAGGGGGAGGAGGTGAGGGGCAGGAGTATGATGATGATGATGATGATGATGATGATGATGATGATGATGATGATGATGATGATGATGATGATGATGATGATGATGATGATGATGATGATGATGATGATGATGATGATGAGGAGGAGAGAGGGGAGGAGGAGGAGGAGGAGGAGGAGGAGGAGGAGGAGGAGAGGAGGAGGAGGAGGAGGGGAGGAGCAGGAGGAGCAGGAGGGGGGGAAGCGGGGGGGAGGGGAAGGGGGAGGCGGAGGAGTAGGGGATCGCGAAGGATGGGTGGAAGTGGGAAGGAGGAAGGCAAGGGGGATAATGGAGGAGGTTAGGGCGGGGGTGGGAGGTGATAAGTTAGGGCCGCGCACGACCGCTCGCTGAGGGCCCTGTCAAACAGGCCTTGGAGGGCAAGGCTTCGTGTTAACCTTTTTTCGTCATATTGTACATTGACGGGAGGGACATGATTGACACAGTCATAAACTTCTGGAGGTCCGCGTGGATTTCTTGGGTGGACCGTTCCTGGCGGTGCCTCTGGCGCCGACCCCCAGGGGCAGGGGTCCGGCGCCAACCCACGAAACCCGTGCGGACCTTCGAAAGGTTATGGTCGATCCGAGTTTTGATTGTCCTTCTCGTGATGGCTGCTGCTGCTGCGGCGCAGCGGCCTCTCCGCCTGTACGGCAGCCCCGCCTTCTGCGGCCGTGCCGCCGCGGCGCAGCCGCTGCGGCGCTGTGGCGCGGCGGTGCTTAGCAACGGCTTCTCGACCTTGCCTCGGCGTGCTCATGTCACTCAGCGAGCCCGGCAGCCCAACAGGGGCACGAGCGCGGGATCACCCGCGCCGCCAGCACGTGCCCTGCCCTGGCCGCAGCGGAGCCGCCAGAACAAGTGGGCACGACTCGGGCGGGCGGCGAGCGAGCGCAGAGGGGTGGGCAGGGTGGCAGGCGGGCGCTCTCGTGTCGAGGAGGCCCCTGCGGCACAGCGCGGGTCCGCACGGCCCCCGCGACACCTGCTCGGGGAGTGCCGCTGGGCCTGTGGCTCCCGGCCCTCGCCGCCGCCGCCGCGTGGAGCCGCCGCCGCGGGGAGCGCGCGCAGGTCCCGGACACGGGTCGTCGTGGCCCTGCGGCCTGCAGCCTTGGCCCCCCCCCTCCTCGCCAAGCCCGCCGCCGCCGCCGCTGCCGCCGCCGCGCGCTGCGGCAGCCGAGCGGCCGCCGCGGCGGCAGCCGCGGCGACGGTGCAGGCCGAGCATGTTCTCTGGGTGGGGGGCCAAGGGTGACGTCTGAAGTGCCGTTTCGATTGATTTTCGAGGCTTGAACCTGCAAAAGGCGCATCGCAAGACGGATTGGTTTCCGGGGCGCAAGAGCCCACATGGATTTCACCCTGAGCCCTCCACCCTGAGAAAATGCTCAGGCAGGGTCCATGTCGATCCGATCGACCCGGCCCAATATCGATTCCGGCCGGCTCGACCCGCTCCGATTCCGACGTCCCGGCGGTGCGATGCGGCCCGATGCTGGCACAGCGCAGCTGTGCGCCTGGGCGCAGGCCGATCCGATCCAGCCTATTTTTCGGCCCCTTGCAGAC